TTGTCATGATAGCTTGTTATTTGAACCCCTTTGGGCTCTGGACTAATTCATCTGAACCTGAACTAAAATTGGTGCTTGTGGGTAGACTAGTTTTTTTTAATTGGCTTTGTTGTTGCTTCAATACACAGACCAGCTCCTGAAAGTAAGCAAATCCTTGCTTAGTGTCTGGCCACCTTAAACAAACAAGCTTTGGTATGAATCTGGCATTAACTCTTGTAGTTAGTTTTTACCAGGATCACAATCCTTGTAAAAAAACCTCCTGGCTTTGATCTTCCTTGCTGACACAAGCAACCAAAACCTTACTTCATCTTCCTTTCAGACTCCCTTCAGATTCTACCATTTCTCCCACAAACCTGAGTCCATTATTGGAAATACTAAATGAGAGATGCATCTTTCTCTGTATATAATTAGACAATGGTATATATCAGGGGTCCCCAACCCCCAGCCCGGCCCATTCGGAACCAGACCGCGGAAGCGGTGGATGAGTGTTGCTTGCACGCACGGCTCCACTTGCATGAAAGACGGACACATGTGCTTGTGTGCGAAGCTCCATTTATGTAAGTGGCAAGAGCATATGCCTGATGGTTGTGCAAATGGAGATGCATGTGCAAGCACACCCCTGCTGCTTGTGCGAGACCATCTCCCCGCCGTCACTGCTGCTATCAGCAGTTCACAAAGCCAGAAAGGTTGGGGACCACTGGTATATATGACAATAGGTGCAAAGTACACAGTTCCCACTATAGCCAGCATTTTAAGTTTGCCTTAAAGTGACATTAGCATCCATTGTGTGTGTGTGTAATTATATAATGTGCTTCATGATGTAACCTCCATTCAATAATTCTGTACATCATCACATCACAACATAAAAGTGCACAATAAAGTGCACAAATGCACTTTTCATCATTTGAGGTCATCAGGTTAGAGACATCAGATCAATGGAATGAATTATGTTTTCTTCTATTCCTCCCAAATCTCAAGGACATGAATACAAAAAAAATATTCTGTCACAAAGGTTATTATTTATTGGCATGTTTCTATGGAAATATTTTGTCAGAAAGGTGTATCCTGTGAATAGATTATAAAGATTGTCCAGCCTTTATGGTTGGGCTAACAGTTCCTCAGCTAATTAGATAATGTACATCCAGATGTACATCTTGTGCTAAACCAAAGCATTTTGGCTAAATGGGAAGGGAAAGTTAAATATACAGTCCTATTAAGTGTCTTATTAATTAATTGCAAAACAGTTCACAAGGGCCTTGAATTATTCAAATCATGTTTTCCCAAAGGCCATTGCGGTGTTTTCTCCTGAAATCAAAGAGAGAAGTCCCTGTTCCAATTCATTATTAGCTAAGATAGATGAAGCTGTCCATTACGGATCACTTTCAATTAAGCCTAAACATTTTTCTTAACAATAAAGATATTCTTTAGGTCAGAAGATCATTAAGAAAAATAAACTACGGGGAAAAGAACCCAAAGAAATAGAGATGAGATTCAGTTCAAAGGGTAATAAAAGGTCAAGTTTTATACAGGGTTATGGATGAGCAAAACCATGAAATCTGGATCTGTTGCTTCAGAAAACCTCAACAATGTTTGCTTCTTAAGCTGCTTTTTAAAAGCCAGGTTAAATTCATATTCAGATTGTATTTTTATAACAGAGATGTTATTCACGATTAATGTCAGAATTATTTTTAATTTATTGTATGTCTATTGCTGGTCAATGACTGTAATAAAGTTTTATTCTATCCATATTCATCTGAAGTTTGGAATTAGACATTAGATAAAATAATTTCACAATTTATTATTACAAATATAAGTGAAATTATATTTATACAAATATAAGTGAAATACAGTCATTTGGATAAAGTTGTTATTTATAAAAAACACAATAGATACTGGGGTTTATAAACAAAATGATGATAGCCATTGCAAACAATCCTTCTTCTTTCTTTAACCTAGTTATCAATGGGCACTGGAGTTTCCATTTCTCAATACTTCCTGGGAATAATTGTACACTGTTATATTATTTCACTCTTGATTCCAGAAAACACTCCACTTTTTGAGAAAGCAATTGCAAGGATAATTTTTTCCAGTTGTTCTAGTTAAATAAACAGTTGATTAAAACACAAATGAATGAATGAATGAATGAATGAACGAGTGTGTGTGTGTGCACAACATTATTGTATTTTTCATGGTTCCTCCCTTGATCCAGTAACTTCCCATCTTTTAACTCAATTTCATTGAGGGCCGCATCAGGGTTGTGTTTGACTTGGGGGGGGGTGGCCAGGGTGGGCGTGGCCAGCTCAACATCACTTGTGTTGGGGGCGCCTGTGGTGGCCTGAGCGCTCTGCCAGCAAAAACAGACTTGCAAGCTCCATTTTCTGCTGTGACAGCCTCCTGCAACCCTCTGCCAGCAAAAATGGTGCGGCCCTCGCGAGTTCTGTTTTTGCTTGCAGAGGCACCGCAGGGGTCCTTCACTGTTTCCAGGGCGACCCCACGGGCCAGTTTTAAGCACTCCATCGGCCTTGAGTTCGATACCCCTGTTTTAACCCATCGTCACTAATTTTCCTTGGAGGAAAGAAAAAAATGCTTGAGTTCTAGATCAGAGTTTTTGTTCCAGTTTGTGGCCCATGAATCAGTATAGTCTACAATTTTGCCCTAATATACTAATGTGATATCAGTATTTCTCTAGATTTCCTGCACTGAAATGATAAAACTAAGGGTTATTGGGGAATGGACATAGGTCTTTATTATATGCCAAAGTTAGGACTCTGCATGTTTCAAAAATAATTAGAAAAGTTGGTCTAATTTGTTTGCAATGATTAACACCTCTCAGCTATTCATTAAGAAGGCTCTGCTTTTTCAGCCTCTGAGTGAGTTTAAAAACTTATGACATTTAATATGAAGTTACTTTTTTACAACCTGACATGGAAGGCTGGAAAAAATCAGATCCAATTCATTATCGAAATGTGCACAGCCCTATTATCTATTAAACTAGGATTTCCTGAAGCGAAGGAGCCTATAAAACTTTGTTATGGTAAGCAATCTCCAAAGCAATGAAAAAGTTCTTTCATCTCTTCACCTGGTGTAAAGGTATGCTTGCTTCTCTCATGTAGCCAAATGTTTCCATCACGATTTTTAGGAAATTACTACACAAATAAATAAGTTTTATCTGGTATCTGGAAATGGGTGCTATAAATTCTGAGGAACCCCTTCACTGGTGATATCAGAGCTACATGAGACTCTAATACATAGTAAGGTTGTAGAAGTAACAGGGCCAGAGGTGGTATTTAACCGGTTCATACCGATTCGGGTGAACCAGTAGCGGTGACTGTGGCCACGTGGGCCTACCCCTCTGCCCCGACATAATGCCATCCTATTTAGCCACATTTTCGAGGCCGGGCACATGCGCGGAAGGCGCACGCACGAACAAAGCACATGCACAGGTCAGGTGAATGCATTGGAGTCGCGCGTGCATGCAAAGCGAGCGCGCGCGTGGGGCAAACCGGTGGTAAGAATTTGTGAAACCGCCGCTGAACAGGGCCTTCCTAAAGCTGTAAACATTTCCATAATGCATTTGTTCCAAATACTGTACTAATGAGAAAGAGGATGGGTAAAACTCCAGTTTTTAAAAACATTCTGGCTTAATGGAGGCTCTTGTCAGTTTTCTCCAAAGATATCTGTCTTTAAGTGTTATTCTTCATGAATTGGTAGAAAAGTATGAGGGCACAGTATACTGCACTGTCTTCACTACTGATTCCTATTTTGCCAAAAGAAGCAAGGCAGTGTTGTTCTGATACTGGACAAATTAACAAAGAAACTGGCTTTATTTATCCTCCTGAGGACATCACCTGCTGGAAGGAGAAGCCAATACCAGTCACTGTTCTTAATGTTTCATGAGCGGGGATAGGTGAATGTAGGCAAGTGCTTAGAAAGGTTATTGTATTCACCTGACAAACAGCCCAAAAAGCAGCTCATAGGTAAGGACTATCAGTTAGGTTATTTCTGAAGAAGTGCTAAAGCCATGTCCCGAAATAGCCTATAGAAAGGTCCCGGAGATGATGGAAAGATGGAACAGAGAGATTGTTCTATCCTCAACTAATGTCAAGGAAATGGCAGCAAGTAGGAAAAATGGCACAGGAGTGGGGCAAAATTAGGCTCCTCCCACTCTTTGTCAGAAGCAGTGGCAGAATATGATTCTGATTTTTTAAAAAATTTGGATCTTTAAAAAGAATACTGGTATCGTGCTGCATGGAAGGTTAGTGATTCAACTAACCTTCCATGCAGCACGATACTAGTATTCTTTTTAAAGACCCAACTTTTAAAAAATGGTTTATCATTCTTTTATTAGCAACAATTGTGCCAAAAGAAAAGGAACCATGATACTTTAACATTGGGATAGTTTTAATATCGCTTTAGGCTGCTTTAGGCTGGGGATGAGATGAAGGCAATGTCATGAGAAGGCCAAGTCATAATGGTCCCAGGGATCATAGCACAAATATCATGGGCATGACTGTCATCTCAGTGGAGCTACATAAACAAAACATTACAGAGCTGAGAAAAAAATTGGAAATATAAGTAACCTAATAAAGGGTAAAGAAATTTGAAAGTTATCACTTTAAATGATCATCAAATCCATGATAGAAATAAAAATATAACTGATTCTGGAAGTAGCACCAATACTTTAAAGACTAGAAAAATAAGTGGGAGGGCAGAACTGAATAAACTATGGATAACCAGTTTATCTGGGTAGTCTTTGTTTAGTGACAATTGTAACCAGCAATTCAGTTGTTAAGTGAAGCAACTGCTAAGTGAACCATAATTGTTTACGATCAGCTTTTCTTTGCTTTACAAAGCAAAAGTCATAAATGTGAAGATTGGCGAAAAATTACTTTTTCATCACAATTGTAACTGAAAGTCATCGTTAAATGAGGAAGTCACTAAACAGGGACTACTGTGTAAACTGAAAGAAGGAGAAACCAACGAAACAATGCATTCCTTACCTGGCACAAGCCGCTAATGCACATGTCTAGTGACTCAGTGTAACATCGTGTTCCATCCAGGACTTTAGGTGCCAGTTCCACAATAAGGTTTGTCTCCTTTGCCTGGCATCTCAATGAACACGGGTTGTCAGGATCATTAGGGATAGGAAGCCATTCATAAAACTGTCCCTGGTACTTGACATCGTTGTGTGCTGAACATTGCTGGGTACGAAAATCACCTGCTTCTGGAGGGCAATCCTAAAAACAAACAGAAAGAAGTCAAAAGTCTACTTAAGTCTATTCTATATAATGTCCTTTGATACGGGTTGGAAGCAACAATAACTTTAAGAAAATTGAACCTTGAGAAATGCAGTGATTCCCTTGTGACCAGTGCCTGTCCTTCTAGTAACTAGTTAATAAACCAGCCTGCAGAGAAAGAAACAATGAAAAAAAAAACCCTTGTAAAACCTATTCACCAGTGGCAAACAATGGCACTCTTATCTTTGTCTAAAGCAGTGTTTCTCAACCTTGGAAGCTTGAAGATGGCTGGCTGGGGGATTCTGGGAGTTGAAGTCCACCCATCTTCAAGCTACCAAAATTGAGAAACACTGGTCTAAAGGGACACAGAATCATCAAAGTGTTTCACAGCACTTTCACTAGACATTCATGTGTAATAGTATAATTTTAAGCAAGACTAGTGAGAAGAAAATTGCACAGAATTTGTTGAGTTCCTCTAAGACAGGGATCCACAAACTTGGCAGCTTTAAAACTTGTGGACTTCAATTCCCAGAATTCTCCAGCCAGCTATGCTTAAAGCTGCCAAGTTTGAAGACCTCTGCTCTAAGAAAATAGGCAGAGGATTGCAGCCTATTTATCACCGAGAAACAACTAGAAGTGAATAGCAAGAGAGCAACACTCTAGTTACAGCACAAGAAATGGATTGCGGCTACTCTCACAAAATGCTGCCTGTTCTTCAGTATTTCTTCTGACTTTGCAAGGATGAAGAAAGACATATATAGACCTGGCCAACTTTTCTTTTCCTTTGAAAATGAAAAAAAAAAAAAAAGGGGGGGGGGGAAGAATCATGAAAATTGCTTGATTAAAGTGTTTGTTTATTTAAGCATTCTTTGCTAGCTTTGCTTTCCAAAAGGACCAAAATCAGCCAAAAGCACAGTATGAGCCAGAAAAACACTATGTATATTTGTGTTACTTCAATCTAACACAAGCAGAGAGTTTTACAATCCACAGTGTCAATAACTCTTCATTTTTTTTAAAAAAAATTGTTTTTTGTTTTTCTTACTATTCTTAAAATTCCTTTTCTTAATCTACCAAGAGAGGTACTTTGGGATGCAACTTAACTTCTTTAATTTGTGCTAAATGTTATGCTAATATTAATAAGGACCGCCCAAATATTTTGGTGGATTGTTTAAAAGAAACCAGAGAGAACAGGATAATCCAATTTACAATAACCTTGAATATTATGTATGTGCCATGGACAAATGCAAAGTGTACAGAAGTACTTAACCATTTTATTTGGTCAAAGTTTAGCCCATCCTTCGTTGTACTACTTTAACAGAGACTATCAGTGAATACAATATTTGACTGCTAATATTTTCAAAGCATAGAATGTTCACTGTTCATGTCTACTTAAAAGCATATCCCATAATTGAATTTAATTAAATATTCAGTCCTAAAATAAGAACTATTAACTTCTTTATTGATAAATTCAGATTTTGCAAAATTGACATGGTTGAAAATTGTTTCTGGCAAGTTAACCAGAAATCACTTTAAGCCACTTAGCACATTAAAAAATAATCTCTTGCTTCTCCATTCAATTCCCTTTATTACTGTGACTTCCTTTTTCTGGGGCTTATATTAAAGTGATCCTGCAGTGGCTACTAGCAAATACATTTCTAACAGTGTTTACAGCCTGGCTGATCTCATTTTGTATTTGTCCATGGCACATACAGAACAGCTGGCAGAGTCTCTTATTCCTCCCAATTTTATCTGAATTTCTTCCCTTTGCCACCTATGTAGGGATTTCCTCCTTATTTGAAGCATATAATGCTACTGCTGAACATGTGAACCTGCTGCATATTGAGTCAGGTTATTGGAACCACTGAATTAGCTCAGTAACAATAAATGTTCCTGAGGATTTGGGAAGCATTTTTCTTGGTTCTGCTATGTTTAATGAAAGAAATACAATCCTGGATCTTCAACATGAGACATTTTGGCCTTTAAGTCTTCAACCAAGATTACCAGCGGTAATCACTTAGGCTTTGTGAGGGGTAAGAATGAAGAAATGGGTCTTTTTGTCTCCTGAAAGGAAAGATAATCTCAGTCACTGTAATTATGATGCATCTAGATAGCTGTTGGGGAAAAAAAACAATATAACTGAACCAGAAAGGCAGTACCACACACCCCAAAAAATCTTAATAATTCACTCCTCAAGAAGCTCCTTGAAATTATAGGTAAATATCTTGTTTTTGATTTATGTAAGTGGCCCAGAGAAACTGAAGTATTCTAATTTGAACTACCCAGAAAAGTGCAGCGAACAGGAAGTCTGAACAGGTACTTCCTGTTGTCTGCAAATCTCATAATGCTGTCAACTGTTCCTTTTAGCGGAACTGATTATGTTCCTTCTTAACCAGAATCAATGGGGATCTGCTTTCATACTTAGAAAAAGCTGCAAAACCTCCTGTGTTGAACATTCAGGGAGCTGAGGCCCAGATCAGCCTGAGCATGTAAACAGCCTGGGAAAGTGCTAAAGCAAGTGAAACTTTGTCGCTAATTTTTCTTTCTTTCTTTTTTTTTTAATTCCATGAGGGTATGGAGTCTGGTTTTATAGCTTGGCTTATTCATGCATCCACAGAGCCAAGCAAGATCTCTTATTTGATTCTGGCTTGGCTGAACCTACAAAACGTTCCGGCTTGTACTGATTTATTTTTATAAAGACAAAAGGTCCAACAAAGCATACAGATATATACAGAGTTCTCAGTCTAGCTTTGCTCTCAGTTGAATAGGATTGTTTAAGCACTTTGTCTTTTTGTTTTTGAAACCAAAATAATAATTAAAAAAACACACACGGTCAACCTAGCACATTCTCAAGACTCGGCGGGCGATCAGGAGCAAGAGTAAAATGCTACTTCTCTTTGATTTTCCTGATTAAAATAATAACACCGTTTTAAATGGCCAAATGGGTGTTTGGAGAAGTTTTCTATGAAACTTAAGCTGCTTGAAGAGCAAATATAAGCACTCTGGAAAGTGTACAGGCATACTTATGCCACTGGCCCCAAGGCAAGAATGAATGAATTTCTATCTCTAGTGTGAAGGGCCAGCACAAACATGCAATATTCTCTCACAGTTAAGTTTAACATCTTTCAGTCTTCCTAGCACAAAAACCACTCATTACTTAGCTACTATTCAAAACAGGTTACGTAGCCAAGCAGGGATGGGATTGGTTGATTTATTAGGTGTTGCTGTTGTTCTTTAACCAAGTTGCCATACTAATTGCAAACCCAAAGACCAAATGCCCTGGCATCCACACTTCTGCAAGTCCTTCTCATCCCTGCTCTACAGCTGTTCCAGAAAGGCAGTAGCAGCTATGGCAGCTGACTTCCCCAAACTCTTTCCTGGTACCTGGCCAGCACTAATTCCAGTCAGGCGGCTAGAACATGCTGATGAAATGATTAATCGTTGTTTGCTTAATCATGATTGTTAAATAAGCCACAGTAATCTGACCTCACCAGACAGAACCCTGCAATTATGTTTACCTTCTTTTCCAGAACAACACTTTGACATTGTTCCTGAATATTATAGGGAAGAGATCATTCCAAGCTTTTTTCTTCTTCTCTTTTTTGTGGAAATGAGAGAGTGTACGGCTACGAGAGGCACGGAAAGGAAAATAGGCATAAACTATCAAAACACAGGACATCAACTGGCAGGTTATCTCATAAACAGAGCTGAGACCAGGTGACAAGAAATCACTTGAAATCATTCAGAGAAATTCCACCTTGATTTACTAGAAATGAGGCCGAGAAATTCCAACTTGCCATTTCCAAGAGCAGCATTAAATAGACCTTATTGGAATATTTGTACAGTGTTTCCCCGAAAATAAGACCCTGTCTTATATTTTTTTGAACCCCAAAATAAGTGCTTGGCCTTATTTTCGAGGAGATCTTATTATTTTGGGACACGTGGAGCAAGATGGGGCTCCTCTTGCCGTCTTACCTGATTTCCAGCTCTGCGTTTAAATATTTTCAGGGAGGGCTTATTTTTGGGGGAGGCTTATTTTAGCGCATGCACTCAAAAGCCCAATTGGGCTTATTATCAGGGGATGTCTTATTTTTGGGGAAACAGGGTAGTTCTTGCCATCTCAAATGTGCCCAGCTGTCTGGAGCTTGACAAGGGACAAGTTCTTGTAGAAAAAGGGGGTTGTGATTATGAAAGCCTGCCTACCATTCCCTCTGCCTTTTTTTTTTAAAGTAAGTCAAAGTTCCCCAGATGTTGAGTTCTTACAGCATGTTGTTCTTACAGCATTAGTAGTCCTCTAATATGATTTACTTCTCCGTTTGAGCTAGTCTTTGAAGTTGACTTGAAAGCTACAACTGATGCAAAAGATCGCAGTTGGCCTGTTGACACATAGGAACTGATACAGTGCATAACACCCGTCGCATTGGCTGTAGTGTAGAGAGCAGAACTGTAGTCCAAATGAGAGGACCTGTGTCACTATTGAATGCTTGGGAACAACATGTCATGGGAACTCAGCCACTGGGAGTGTTTTATCTAAAACATGGGTGTCAAACATGATTTGATTGAGGGCTGCATCAGGGTTGTGTTTGACCTCAGGGGAAGCGGGAGGGGGGGCGTGATCAGGGTGGATGTGACCAACATGACATCACTCGTGTTGGGCACCTGTGGTGGCCCAAGCGCTTTGCCAGCAAAAACAGGCTCCCGGTTTTCAGCTGGGATGGCCTCCTGCAACCCTCTGCCAGCGAAAATGGAGCTCGGGAGGGCTGCACGCAATCCCTGCGAACTCCGTTTTCATGGGTCAGTCCTTTGCTGTTTCCAGGGTGACCCCGCAGGCCAGATCTAAAATGTTACTGCATTTTCCCATTGACACATCACTAATAGAATCTCGGCATGATATTGATCAGGGGTGAAATGCTCCCGGTTCGCCCGATCCGGTAGCGATGGAGGCGGGTGGTAGCAAAAATCCCTGCTCCCCCCCTTTGCTCAGTTGAGCCGCACAATCATCA